ATTAATTGTAAAATAAAACTTTTATTATATTCTTTACTTATAATTTAAGGGAACAAATTAAACAAGCACATTCCTAAATACAATAAAATGGTCAATTGGTCATCTACCTTTTCGAAGGTGCATGTTCATTAGCAACTTGCTGGTTAGAATAACATAAACATAAACACACCTTCTAGAATTTAGGTGACTAACTTTTCTGTGTAAAATTCACCAGGATATTGGAGTACAATAACTATTTTTATTACTAATTGATGAACCTTATGATAGTAAAATGTTTGTCGATGACTCTTCTCGTCAGCTAATGACAATGATGACATTCAAGGCAATGAAATATTTAAAGGAGCTTTAACTAATAGGAAAGTGGTTGTGATTTTAAACTAAATTTAGACTTTCAATTCTTTCACCACAGAAACTAGTAATTTACTACTTCTGTTACACTATATTAGTAGTTTTAAGTTTTTGTACAAGAACTAAGGAAATAATTATCTTTAATTTTAGTATTAAATAAAATAAAACTGCCATCTTACCTTCTTTTTTTTTTTTCATCCTCTTCTTTTATCTTGTGTAAAAGTTCATCTATCATTATATTTTCTCTTTCATCTTTTCTTCTTTTATTGTTAAATGGAAAATTTAAAGTCACTAACATTATGTTCAGATGAACATTAGTAAAAATAAAGTGAAGGAAAGGGAGGGGAAGTAAAAAGAGGAAGCCAACGACTTAAATAATTTTGAGGTCATCTTCTTTCATTGGAAGTAAGAAATTTAAAGTTCAGGTCGTATGATATGCAGGTGAGGTAGGATAAGGGATGAAAGATGATGTTGTACCTATGATTTTAATGATTACAAAACACATTTGAGTGACTAATTGGTTTATTTAAGTGTGTAGTTAAGTTGCTAAAAGATTGCAAGTAAACTTGGATTGCACTAAAAATAGACCAAAAGGATTCAATGTGCAGAGAGCCAGCTCTGGTGAAATGGAATGCAGAAAGCCGGCTCTGGAAGCTGCAGCCAGCTCTACAGGCAAAAATTTGAAGACCGTTGTTTGGCGCGCGAAGAAAAGACGCAAAGTCGGCTCTGGCTTTGCAGCTGGCTGTGAGGGTGCATTTAATTCACAACGGTCGAGTCATTTGAAGATTATTTAATGTATTTAAAGTCGGAGTTGCAAAGCCGGCTCAAAGTTTGCAGCCGGCTCTCGAGAAAAACAGAATGGGCTGCAATCCCGGATAACCGGCTCTGAAAGTGTAAACCGACTCTGAAAGTGTAAGCCGGCTCTGGAGAGTCGGCTCTATAATTGTAAGCCGGCTCTACTAACAATTCTGCAGCTCGAGGTTTGTGTCCTGCAGAGCATTTAATGACCTCCAACGGCTAGTAACGGCTATTTTCGAGCAAGGGGGTATAAATATGGTTGGTAACAGATCTGAAGAGGTTTAGAGAGTATTGTATTGAATATCTTTACTACCAACTTGTGCTTTAACTTGAGATTTTGATCTTTGAGAGATCTTTGTTTATAATCCTCTTCTTGTGCTATTAGTGAGTGATCTTGGGGGTGTGTTGATTCCTTCAAAAGTGATCTATTGAGAGGATTTGTGGGGTTTACATTGTAAAGGGGTGAGATTTGAGAGAACACCCTTATTCTTGTAAAAGGATTGAGTGGCTCCTTTAAGCCACCCTTGTTGTTGTTAGTGGAGAGTGTGGAGAAAATCCTTGGTGAGTGAAACCAAGGTAGAGGACTAGGCTCCAAGTGGTTGGACCGAATCTCTATAAATCATTGAGCAAGCTCTTCTTCTCTATTCTCTTTAATTTGGGTGTTGTGGTTGCAAAAAGGGGAGAATTTTTGGAACTCCAATTCACCCCCCCTCTTGGAGTACATTGAGTCAACAGATGATTGTTTGTCATTGTACAACCAAGATAAAAAAAATGTGTAAAAAGAGGAAAAGGAAAGAAAAGTAAAAGGTTAGTATTAATTTTGTTTGGATAAATAAAAAAGAGGAAGGAAAGGGAGGGAGAGATTATGTTTTTTTATTTAATTAAATAAATTAAAGAAAAATAATTATAAAATTAATT